GAACCCTGAAAAGTAGGATCTGAGATGTGGGACAAGTGGTTGGAGGGGGCTTTCTTCTGGGACCCAACCCTGGCCCAGAATGAGGTTCTGGCTGCAGACGCTGGGGACCCAAGGACCGGAAGGAAGACAGATGGCCTGCCTCCCTGGGGTTGCTGTCCACTGCAGCTAATGAGGGTGCTGAGGCTTCAGGCACAGCCTTGGACAGGAGAGAGTAAGAAAGGAAGAGTCCCCCCTGGGAACCACGGGAAGGTGGGCACAGAGAGTCTGAGGGCAGGTGGCCAGGCCAGAATCACGGAGCTGGATGCAGTGAGGTGGGTGCCCGTTACCACAGCAACAAAGGTGTCCCTGCCAAGGATCGATGCCGATGGTGTGCAGCATGGCCTGCCAGGGGCATTAGGGTCTGGAGGAGGCAGCAGGGTGTTCTCTTGCAGGGCTCTGTGATCTAGGAAGCCTGTCCCTCTGCCTTTCAAAAGTTCCATTGCAAGAGGTTCTCCCCCTTCCGGATATGGACACTTTGATAAAAGTTCCTGGTTGAGGCAGTCACTTGGGGTAGTTCAGAATCCTGGCTGGCAGTTGGTGGCCCATATTCTAGCTGTGGTGTTGTCTATGGCAGGCTAGGTGACCAGGGCTAAGTCCCTTCCCTCTTGGCCTCAGTTTCTCCTTTCAGAAAAAGTAATGCCAATTTGTTCTCAATGATGCTATTGGCATCTCGGGTGGGGCAATCCTTTTGTGTAGGGATTCTCAATCTCCTAACTGCCAGAAGCACCCCATGCTATTGTGAGACACCAACCATCCCTCCAGCAATGCTCCCTAGGTGGGCACTTCATCTCTGTTATTCTAACTGGTGAGACAAGGACCGCGAGAGGCAGGGCCCATGAAGGACCGTTTTGGGTGGTAATTATTGAGGAAAGGGGGCAAAGGAGAGGCTGGACGTAGGGGAAGAGTGAGTAGGACTGTGGTGGCAGGACTGCAGTGTGGTCATCGCCTACCTAGTAGTGAAGGAGAGAAGGGGATGGCGGGGAGGTGGGAGTGCTAGAGCAGTAGTTACAGAGGGAACGGAACCCGAAGCTATCAGCACCACGGACAGCAGAACAGGCTGCTCCTCTCCCCCCTCTGCCTCTGCAAGCGGATACTCTGGAGAGCACCTAAGACCCAGCTTTCGGCTTTCTCACTGGGCATCCAGACCACTGCCCTGGTCCCAGCCCAAGGAGGTCAACTAAGTCATGCTCCTCTTCAAGGCCAGTGGCTTCCAGGTCTGCTCCAGCTCCTCAGGGAGCTGCTCACCTGTGCCTGAGTCACACGAGGCTAGGACAGTTTGCTCACTGACTCCTCTAAAGGGATCATGTTTCCCAACCAGCCCAGGGGCTGCTGGGGTGGGAGTCTGTCTTCTGTAGTGCCAGGCTAAGAGCCCTCACAAGCCTAGGTT